AAGGAATTTATTAGTTACTTTTCCTGTTGCCACAATGACAAAGGCAACTTGAAGAAAGGGTTAACTTTGATTTAAGGTTGTGGGTACAGTCTGTGATGCTGGAATGTGAGGCAGCTGGTCACGTGACTTCTGCAGTCGAGGAGAAATAGGGAGAGGTCAGTGCTGTGGCTCACCTCTCTTGCTGTGCTGGGACCCCAGGGATGATCCTGTTCCACCTGCCCAGGCTGGGATTGTAGGCACAAGCTGCTGGCCCTGGCTTTTAATGTGCTTTCTTGGGATCAACTCCTCAAGTCTGCAGCAAACACTTTACCAACCGTCTCCCAGCCTTCTTTCCCAAGAAGACCTAACCTTGTCGGTCTTCAGTGGTGAATAGCAGTGCTGGTGTACGGTCAACCTAGAGTTAGTGTCTTTGTAGAGAAATGTCCTGGGAAGTAACTGCAGAGACCATCAAAATGAAAAGCTGGGGCCAGTGGGATAGTTTGGTGGACAAAGGCGCTTGCTGCCAAGCTTTAGGACCTCAGTTTGATCCCTGGGACCCACACAGTGGAAGGAGAAAACCAGCTCCCACTAGTTTCCCTGTGACCATCATATTTGTGCTGTGCCACATGTGTGTGCGCCCTCCCACAGTACACACAAAATAAATGAAATGAGGTTTGTTTTTTTAAAGAAAAGTTTTGTATTGATATTTAGAGTTTGATGTTCTTGGATAGAGATTCTAGAGCTTTTAGCTTTACTTCTTGTACTCTTAAAACTCTTGGGGGAATCCCCAAAAGCTTTTATGTCACATGACTTCTGTTTTAGGGTTTCTTTTTTTTTTTTTTATAATTTATGTTTCCTCGCCGTCCGCCCGCCGCTCCCGCGCCTCAGCCCCCCTGTTTTAGGGTTTCTATTGCTGTGATGAGACACTACGACCATGGCAACTCTTACAAAGGAAAAACATTTAATTGGGGTAGGTTGCATTTTCAGAGGTTTAGTCCATTGTCATCATGGCATGACATGGTGGCTTGCGTGCAAACATAGTCCTGGAGAAGTAGTTGAGTGTCCTACATCTTGACTTGCAGGCAATATTAGGTGTTTCTCTTAGATGAGCCTCTCTGCCAAGACAAATAATTCCAATCAGACTGTATCAGACCGAGTAAAAGATGCCCGTGTTTCATGAAATGCTCCCTGGTGGCCCCAGGAAAGCATGGAGAGGGGAAGAGAGGGAAGGGGAAACCACACAACAAAACCCAGAGACCACCTTTCATTCTGGGGGCCAGTTTAAATAGCCTATGGGAGTCATCTTGACCTTCTCTGGGGAGGGGTTACCATTTGATGGGCTTTCTTGACTCTCCCTGGGGAGGGGTCATATGCCAGGAACTGGGGTGAAGCCCACAGGCAAACAATCCAGACTTTTTGTATAAAGGGGTGTTAGGGAGCTGGGGTGATGCTTTCTACCAAACGGGCAACAGGAAGTAGTCAGAGATGCTAGGTGTGGCTTGAGCATATATGAGACCTCAAAGCCTACCTCCACAGTGACATACCTCCTCCATCAAAACCACTCCAATAAGGCCATACCTCCTAATAATGCCACTCCCTTAGGGGACCATTTTTCCTCAAACCACCATATCCCGCTTGCTGACCCCCAGAGGCTTGTAGACACATCATTAATGCAAAAATGCATTCAGTCCAACTTCAAAAGTCCCCATAGTCTATAACAGTCGTAAACTTATTTAAAGTCCAAAGTTCAAAGTCTCTTGAGATTCATGCAGTCTCTTCTAATCCCCTGTAAAATCAAAATTAAAAAAGCCAATTCACACACTTCCGATACATAATGACACAGGATATACATTACTGTTCCAAAATGTGGGGAAGGGACAGTGGTGAGGAAATCTTGGGCCAAAGCAAGGCCCAAAACCAGCCACGCAAACTCCAGACTCTGCATCTCTATGACTTATGTCAGAACTCCCTTCAGGAAAATGTTGGTGCTCATGGAACTGGTGTTGCTCTGAGAAATAAAATGGTTTTCTTTTCTTTTCTTTCTTTTTTTTTTTTTTTTTTTTGTTGTTGTTGTTGTTTGTTTTTAAAGCGCTTTTCAGATCTCCAACTCCTTTCAGCTTTGTTGACTGCAACACACCTCTTTTCTTACGCCTAGATTGCAGGGTCCCCCAAAACCCACCACAGAGTCTGAACTCCTAGGCAAAAGCAAGAGCCTTTATTCAAGCTTGAGCTTGGACCCTCCATGTGTCCGACACAGTGGTATGATTTGAAAGCCCTGAGCCCAGTTGGGGAAGGGTTTTTATCATATCAGAGGTTGGGGTGAGAGGATTTCTAAGGTTCAGGACCCTTGACTTGCTGACATTTGTCTAGGGGTGTTTTGGTAAAAGATGCTGGGTGTTACTGGGCCACGGGACATCTGGTGATCCTGTCTACAAAGGTTAGAACATTAAGTATTTCCTTTGGAACGTTGAGTATTTTCCCCTTGGATACTGATTGGTCCATTCCTGGGTTGTACCTGGGTGGTCTCAGTTTGTGGTCTTTCCTGGAACTAGGTATTGCCTTAGGGTGAGCTGAAACTTAGGCTACTCTTTGACTGGCTTTTATTGAGCCTGTCATGGCAGCAGTATAGCCAAGCCACCCTGGGCCCCACACTTTCTCTTTGGCTGGTTCCATTCCCTGTGAGCAACTTTCCTCAGCAGGTATCAAACCTACAACTCTGGCATCTCCAGCCTTCAACTTCACAGCTTCACAAAATGACGTCTCTAGTCTTCCATTCGGGGACACCTCTGACACATGCCTGACCTAAGCAGCTTTCCTTAGTTATAGAGAAAAATTTCAAATTACCACATTTTTATTTGTTTGTTTTGTTTTAAGTTTTATTGTTTTATATGTCTTGCATTTATAGCCCTGGTGGGCCTAGAACTCACTGTGTAGACCTGGCTGGCCTTGAACACACAAAGATCCACCTGCTCCTGCCGCCTGAGTGCTGGGATTAAAGGCGTGTAAAACCATGCCCAGTACTTAAATCTATTGCTAACTGCTATTAATAAGGAAGCTGATTAGCTTAATTACTAGACCTTCATTTACTTTAAAAATGAAAATATTGGGGGGCTGACAAGGTGGCTCAGCAGTTAAGAGCTCTGACTGTTCTTCCAGAGGACCGTGGTTTAGTTCTCAGCACCTACATGGCAGCTCACACCTGTCCGTGATCCTAGATCCAGCGGTCTGACACCCTCACACAGACATATATACAGGCAAAACAGCAATGCACATAAAATAATAAATTACAAAATGGAAACATTGGTCCATTGCTTATTAATGTAAATAATATATTGATATAATTATTTTCTAAAGGTAGAAGTTAGCTAAATGAATATTGTTATTAGTTTTGTTTTTGCAAAACTTTTATTTCTGTGTATGTGTGTGTTTGCCCACATGTATGTCTGTGCACCATATGTATGCAGTGCCCTTTGGAGACCTCAAGTCTCCAGAAGTGTCATGTCTCCTTGAACTAGAGTTACAGACAGTCGTGAGCAGCTCGATGTGGATACTGGGAGCTCAGCCCAGGTCCTCTGCAAGAGCAACCAGTGCTCATAACCGCTGAGCCATCTTTCCAGCCCTGGTATTATTTTTATAGTTGTATAAATCCCTTTACTTTGCTTAGCAGCAGCATGCATAGGGGTTCTTTGCTTCTGCAATGATTAATGCATCCCAGTTTGTAGCTTTCAGAAACTCTATACACTCAAGAGAAGAGAAACTTGAAATGGCAAATGGTGATTATTTTGAAAATGGCTTCTACTCTGAGGATCTACTGCCATCCACAGTCTGGCTGCTGCTGTCCACGGGAGTGGAAACCCTTGTGACTGACACAAACCAATGTGACTGTGCCTCCTCCCGTGTTCTGATAGTAAATCCTTTTGAGAGTATTTCTAGAGCCCTGAACCTCTGCAGGCCAGTAAACTGTCTACAGGAAACCAAAGCTGGCAGCCTTCTGTGACCTTTTGCCCTTTCTGATCTAATGGAGAATCAATCTGGCCCCTGCTTTTTCATAATTTGCTTTCTAACTTCTGTCTCTGTGAGGGCATTTTTAACTGGAGTCACAGGAAAGGAGTTAGACCATCTCCTCGGGTCCCTGTCTTTGTGTCTTGGAAGGCTTAGCTAAGGGAAGGGCACTTGGTTCTCCCTGATGTCTGGACTCCTTCAACATGCAGGACTGTAGACTGGGGATGGCTCCATGGCAGCCTGCTTAGTATAGGGAAGCAGAATCGACTCTGGAAACATCAACACTTCAAGATTTATCTCCCTTTGGAAATGCTTGAGCCTGAAAACAGCCTTTGTGCTTCTCGGAGGCCACACAAAGATATCTGTCCTGCCTTCACCTGAGCAAACCCAAGGAACGGGTCTGTTGTGTGTTGCCTCTCTTGCCTCAAATTATATATTCTTCTCTCTCTTTGGGATCCAATGGATTCTTCAAAAGTCAATTCACAGAAGTTGTTTTTGACCTGCGTATTTTGTCTTTATGACAGTTGAAAAACTGTTATTTTAAAGTGTGTGCGTCTGTGCATGCGCATGCACGCATGCACTCATGCACTCACAGTAGAGCTAGAGTCACAAGCAATTACAAGTTTCCTGGGGTGGGTCCTGGGAATCGAACTCAGGTCCTCTGCAGGAGTAATACTTGCTCTTAACTTCTGAGCCATCTCTCCAGCCTTAGTTTGTTCTTGTTTCCCTTTTTCTCTGCTCTCCGGTAGGATTTGGCTTGTACTCTACATTACATAACTATTTTGAATAATTATTTTCCTTCTCTTTAATAAATGATGTTTAGAGTTTTAAACTTTAGGAAAGACAGGCTCCCCAAGTTGTGGCCATCTTCCTTTTCAAATGATTTCTGAAATCGTCTTTGTACTATGTAAATTACACTGACCCAAGCAGGAGTCCAGATCCGGTCAACTGCGCTGCATAATGCTATTTCTGAGTGTACCGCTGTCTGCTTATTCTAAATTTGTCCAATTCTGTCACAGCTATTTCTGCGTTTGAAGTCCATCCAGTTTCTACAGAAGTCCACGAAGGGGGAGTTGCTAGATTTTCTTGCAAGATTTCATCAACGCCCCCTGCAGTCATTACGTGGGAGTTTAATAGGACAGCCCTGCCTGTAACCATGGACAGGTAAATACAGCATGTTGATTAGGGTGTGTGCACACGAAGCTTCCGAGGGGGAAACGTGGTGGAGTTCCTTTTCGTTTTGGGGTGGCAATAATGGATTTCCTCGGGCATTCTCAAACCCAGATTAAGAATCCCATCCTCGGGCCTGGAGAGCTAGATCCGTGGCATAAAGCACTTGCTGCTCTTGCAGAGGTTCGGTTCCCAGCACCCACACTGGAGTGTAAGTCTAGTTCCAGGAGAGTCGGCACTTCTGCTCTCTTCCCAGCGGCGCAGGCATGTGGTGTATGCACGTATGTCAGACACATGCACATACACACAAAATAAACATTTTTTAAAAAAAAATGTTTGATTCCTGCTCTGCTCCAAAGTATACAGAAATCATTTGCTAAAATGACAGAATACTGGGATGGGGAAAAGCTTGTGAGGTGTTTTGTTGAAGAAAGAGAAAAACTCTGATTCAAGAATATCTTAGGCCGGGTGTTGGTGGCAGCGGCACAGGCCTTTAGCCCCACCACTCAGGCAGAGGGAGACGGATCTCTGAGTTTAAGGCCAGTCTGGTCTACAGATTGAGTTCTAGGACAGCCAGGGCTACACAGGGAAACCCTGTCCCTGTCTCAAAAAACAAACATACAAACCCAAACCAACCAACAAACAAAAGACTATCTTAAACCATGTTTGTTTGTTTGTTTGGTTTGTTTTTAGAGACTCTTTTGAGACAGGGGTTTCTTTGTGTAGCCCAGGCTGGCCTGCACTCCTTTAATCCCAGGATTTAGGAGGCAGAAGCAGGTGAACTGCTGTGTGTCCGAGGCCAGCCTGGTCTACAGAGTGAGTTCCAGGACAGCCAGGAGTGTTACACAGAGAAACCCTGTCTCAAACAAACAAACAACAATAACAACAAATGTTAAATGAATTTTGGCTTTGGATTAAGATAGAATTCTAACAATTTTGAGCTGGCCCTGAACATACTTCTGCTATTTTGCAGTCTGTTTATTTGAGGCAGTGTTCTTGGTATTGAGAAATATAATGGGGCTGGAGAGATGGGTCTGTGGTTAAGAGCACTGGCTGCTCTTCCAGAGGGTTCCGACACCCTCATGGTGACCCACGACTGCCCACGACTGTCTGTAGCTTCAGTTCCAGGGGATATGACGCCCCCTCTGGCTTCTGCTGGTACTGCACACAAGTGGTGCACAGATATACAGGCAGGCAAAACACTAATACACATAAAATATTAAAAGAAAACTGATGGATTGAAAAACATTATGTCTTATTGAACTTAAGTCATTAAGTCAAATAGCACTAATATTAAGATTAAGCACCCTAACCCTATGCAATCCAGTAATAATTGATAATTACTAATTTGATACATGCTGGGAAATTACTAAAAGTATTAGTTTCCCATAATTAGGCCATTATGTTTCATTAAGGGCAGAAAACTTTATATATTCAGTAAGAACACTACATTTCCTGGCACACGGCAGCCTTCAGTCTGAGCCTGGCTGTTTCAGATGGCATTCATTGGTGCCGTGTGGTGCGACAGCCTTTGCCGTGTGCAGTGCGAATGAACTGTGTTCAGAAGTGAGGTCACATGCTGCAGCACGGGCCAGCTCACCAGAAGTAGCTCAGATTCTTTGCTTATTTTATATTGAATTGATTTTTATTGTTGCACATATCAAAACCTTTTACCACTGCCAATTTTTTAATGACTGACCCACATTCAACTTTTATGATTTTTATATGGGGTTGGGGACCCTGTTTTAGAAACTGGGTTGTGCAGAATAAATAGCTCTTGTTGTTTTTGTTGTTGTTGTTGTTTTTTAAAGATCAGGATTTTGAAAATAAATCATACTAAGGTCTGAGCCATTATCAGCTAAATCAACGTAAGAATGTAAAAACAAAGAGTGCTGGATTTTACAGACTGTCCTGAAGAATTAGTTACATCTCAGAGACCTGTCATGACCCATAATAAAGTCAAGCTAATGGTCTTTACTGGTGTTGGTTTTCACCTTGGGAGTCATATCCAGGGCCTCCTGGGTGCCAGACTGAGTCTCTGCCACACCCCTGCCGAGGCTAATATGTTAAAAGGTCTTTGCAGTATGGTTTCTACCATGATTAAAAAGGTTGAATGTGTTAATTCTGTCAGTGGATATGTTTAGAAAGAATGAAGATCTACAGAAAGTTCACTTCCACTTCTTGTCTCAACAGGGTGACTGCCCTGCCGTCAGGAGTGTTGCAGATCTATGATGCTGGCCCGGAGGATGCTGGGAATTACCGCTGTGTTGCTGCAACCATAGCTCATAAACGTAAAAGCATGGAGGCCTCTCTAACCATAATTCCAGGTACCGTGCTAAAGTGGTTTTCGTTTGTTTTCTCCCATCTTTTGGGAGTTTTGGTTGTCCTGTCTGTTTTCCTCTTGGCTGTAATGACATTCTGTCCATCAGAATTTTAATAGCGTTTCAATGCTTGTAATAGATTTGGTTTGGGTTTGATGTTTTCAGATAGAGGCTTTCTTTGTGCCCCATCCCAGGCTTGAATTTTTAACCCTTCTACTTCTGCCTCCCCCAGTGCTGGGATTACAGGTGTATGCCACCATGCCTGGATTGTAATCTGTTTAAAACATAGTCTTTTACTAAGTACATCTTTCTCAGGTATTTGTGTCTTCTGTGTCAACCTCTAGACACACTGAATGGTTACTTTATACATTTTTCACTTTTGTTTTTAAAAGCATAAAATACAGAGGGCAAAAAGAGAATGTCCATCGCCAACAAAGATGTTTATTTTTAATATTGATATTCTTCACCTTAAGCACTAACTGCTAATGGATATTCATTTTGGGGTGTCGTGTGACAGACTTTTCCTGGGGAGACACGTGCACCCTAGTTAGGGATCCCACTACAGATCAAAGCACAGATAGCACCAAAGTCCCACTTAGTAAACCAATGAGTTTTATTGGGATTACTTACAGGAATGTGGGTGAGGGGTTACTTATAGGAGCAGAAATGATTCAAAGACAGCTGCATCACCAAAGCCTACCCCAGCATGGGTGACAGCTCACAAAACTGGGAACCTGGAGCACACTGAGCCTGCAGACAGATCAGCTGTTGGAGAGTGGCCTATCCAATCACCTCGTTGGTTTGTGTGTCTTCCAGGCAGCCCACTGATCTCTGCTTCTACCTTCTACTGGACTTGTCTGCTTTGTATCTTGGTTCCTCTGAGAGTGACTCTCAGCAGCCTTCATTGTACTCTTGGGCACTGAGGGGATGTAGTGATTCTGCTCAGTTTCAGGGACTTCTTTACTTTCTGTGGTAATGAACTTCCCTGCAGGGTGGAATGTTTCAATCTGTGAGGAAATTACCACACATTGGGGGCGGGGGAGATAATGAACATGTTCTACAATTAATTGTAATGGTTACTTAGCTGGAAAGTCTGAAAACCATTGAGTTAGACATTAGATGGGTGAATTGTGTGCCCTAAGAGTTAGACCTCAATAGCACTTTTTTTCTTTAAAATAAAATCTTATTTAAGAAAAAGAAAGGAAGCTGGGCGATGGTGGCGCACGCCTTTAATCCCAGCACTCGGGAGGCAGAGGCAGGCGGATCTCTGTGAGTTCGAGACCAGCCTGGTCTACAGAGCTAGTTCCAGGACAGGCTCCAAAGCCACAGAGAAACCCTGTCTCCAAAAA